CAGCAGCTTCAATTAAAACCGAGTCGCTTGAACAATAATGGAAAAGTAATTGAGCTAAATTGAAATGTAATTGGAAAAAAAATCATGGCTTAACATGGATTTAGAAACCAGGCTGGGGTCAGGAGCATCTCCATTCTCCAGCCTCCAATCTCCTCATCTCTTCCCCACCCCTCAGGGGGCTCTCAGTCCAGAGTCCCCACAAGCTCCTCTCCATCTTCCCGAGGCTCCTCTGCTCCGCCCCAAGTTATCCTAGTCAGTGCTTCTCAGTCAGGGGCAATTTTGCCCACACACAAACTCCAAGGGACATTCGACAATGTCTGGAGACAGTTTGGTTGTCACAGCTGGCCGGGGGGAGTGCTGCTGGCATCTAGTGGGTGGAACTGCAGACACAATGCCCGGGACAGCCTCCATGCAAAGGATATCCATCCCCAAAGGCTAATAGTGCTGAGGCTGAGAAATTGCCCCGCTCCAACTGTCCACTCTGCAGAGGCCCCCCAGCCCTCAACTAAGAGGCCTCTGGTTTCCTCTCCTCACACCAGCGTCAGGGAGACTTCCCCCTCTTTTTGTGTCCCCTGCAAACTCCAAGACCTTGACCCTCAGCAGAGAGAAGGGCAGATGTCCTTACTTCCTGGGAGCCATCTATTCCCCTACCTGCCAGGGGAATTCTCCTACCCCCAGGCCAGGGCAGGGGAGGGCGTGCTCATGGCTGGTTGGTACAGAGCTGGGGATACCCCAGCCTGCATACCCCCAGCCTGTGCACTGGCCACTGTGCTACTTAAACACCGGGGAGCGGGGAGGGGAGCCTTCTCCACACCCTCAGGCCTCTTCTCCTCTGTCCATACCTGAAAGTGGGCTGCTGCCCACAGAAGCCACGCCTGGCCCCACTCTGTGTCTCCATCTCCTCCCATCTCCCCCTTCCCACCTCTGCTTCTGGGCTCCAGTGTGTGGCTCCAGTGAGGGGGAGGGGACCTGGTGGGGCCTGGGAGGTGAGCAGGAGATGCCTATTTGGGCTCCCGATAAACTCAGGAGTCAGCTGGCGTGAAATGAAGAAATATGGCTCCTGGTAAATATTTATTTTCTATCAGAAATTAGCAAACCAAATGTAATTAAAAACAACTCTGTGTGTGCCTTCTCCACTCCCACCCCCAACCCCGAGTCTAGAAAATGACATCTCGGAATAGTGACTCACAAAGGCTGTGCCCTAATTAGCAGGCTGCCCCTGCTGCTGAGGCCGCCTCTCTCAGCCTCCTCAGGTAGCTGCTGGTACTTGGCGTGGGCCCAGGCCACTAAGGCCTGTGCAGGTCCCCTCTGTCCTCTGGCCCCCTCCCAGGTCCGAAAAACTGGAACCCTGAGCAGGGCCCAACGAGGGTGGAGGGATAGTGGAGCAGACCTCTCCTCACTGAATCTGATGGAGTAGGCTCAACACGGCCCTCCTCTCTGCTTGGCTGCTGCCCACCCCTGGGGGAGGCAGCTGGGGTTGCTGGTTGGGAAAATGGCCTTGGGAAATCAGCAGAACCTGATTCCCTTGCTTTCTAGCTGTGTGACCTTGGATAAATTCCCTTAATTCTGAGCCTCAGTTTTCCCTTTTGCAAAAGGGGGATTGTGAGGCCTTCCTTGCAGATTCATCGGATATGTAATGAGTCCCACTGTGTTCAGGGCCCTGTCTAGGCTGTGGGGATGGAGCAGTGACACAAACAGATCAAAGCTCTGCTCTTAGGACTCCCCCTGTGCAGGGCACGGTAAAGCACGTGGCACATGGTGGGTGCTTGCGAGTTGAGAGGGTTCTCTCCCACAGCCTCCATCAAACATCCCAGGCCAACAGAGGAGTCCTGGCAGTGCTGTCACCAGTTAGGCTGAGTAATAATCTCTCCTCTTTATTGAGCACCTACTGTGTGCCTGGTGCTGCACTAGTTGCTGCTCCTCTAGGGTGGCTCAGCTAGACAGAAGGCTTGCTTCCAAGTCTGAGCCCCATGCTGCCTTGGGATGGGGTGCACAGTGGGCAGAGACCCCAACGAACACCAGTTTGTCCTCCCCCTTAGCCCAGGCTGTGGGTTGCTGTGCTTATTAAGTATTTGAGACTGACCTTTCAGAAATGCTGTTTCCCTCCTGTCAGCAGCTCTATTTAAAAGTCTACAGTGGCCTAGTGCCAGCCCTGCTCATAGGTAATCTACAGCTGACCTTTCTGACCTGGGCTGCACAGCCCTCTGACTTGGCCGTTTGACTGAAGAAGTTGCTGTCAAGCCCACCCATGTCTCTTCACCCTTACCAGGTGTAACGTACCAGCCCAGCTTCCAACTGCCAGCACCCGTGCGTCTTTGCCTTTGAGCTCTCTCTGGAGCAGCCCAAACCATCTTGCTATGCTAAAAAATGCCACCTCCTCTAGGAAGCCTACCCTGATTGCTGAAGCCTGCTCAACTCTGCCCCCTGGATTTGGCTTCCTTCACACTGCATAATCTCTGCTTCACACACTTGGCACAGACTCCCTGGTATGAGGGGTTCTATCTCACATATCCAAGCTTTAGCTTGTCATATGGATTGTATCTCTTTCCCTCCCCCACTTGTGTTGCAAAAATTGGGGGTTCAAGTCTTGTTTCTCTCTCTAAGAGCTGGGGAAAGTTAGTTAATTTCTCTGAGCCTGAGTTTCCTTGTCTGTACATCATGGATGATAATAATAGAACCTTAGCTCATGCTTGTTTCAAGAAATAAAGGAGACGAGATAGATATTAACTATTTGATGGGATGCTGGGCACACAGGGAAGGAGACAGCTGTCTTAGATGGTCTTCCCAGCCCTTGTCCTCCTTCTGGGATTGGTATCTCCCTTCTAGGGAACTGACCGCACCTGCCCAGCTCTGTGATCCTAGTAGAGGGTGTTTATTATGCCCCCTGACCTCTCTTGACCACAGACTGACAATCAGTTGAGGAGTGAGCCCACGCTCAAAGCTAAGCCAATCAGAGTTCTTCCCTGGGATTCTTCAACTAGATCTGGGAGAGAGGTTCAGCTCCTTCCTGACAGAGACGCTATGGGACTTGAGGGAGGGCCCCAGGGTGTCTTCCCTGTGGAGGAAGAGGGACTGGTCAATAGAGACCAAAGAGAAAATGAAAGAAAGTTGGGGCAGCATTTGAGTCCTAGGTCCCCAAGGCTCACCTACCTGCTTGTCTCTCTTTTCCTTTGATTGTAAGAAATATTCCAAATCCTTCCCACACCGCCTTCCCCCCTTTTTCGCCTCACTTCGGTCACTCAGGCAGGTTTTGGTCACATGCCCCCATCAAATCTTGGCCAGTGCAGAACTCCCAGGAAGCCACCTTTCCTCCATCTGCCGTTGACAGAAGGTACAGAACTTCCTGGGTGGAGAAGAGGAGGTGAGGGTGTCTCTGAGTCTCTCCCAAGAGTGTTTCCTGTTTTCCTTCCCTGCAAAAGATATGGAAAGAAACTGCAGCCCCAAAGAGGGCAATTAGTGATCAGGAAGAACTTCCCAGTGCCAGGAGCACGAGGCTCTTAGAAGCCGGGAGTGTTAATACCCACGTCAAGCTGGTGGAGTGCTGCATGAGGGAGGGGCTGCACGTGACACCTTCTGGAACCCTGAGGCCTCAGGTGGGGCTTGACTGCCCTTCTCTAGTCACCAGCCACAGCTAGGTTGGCTGGGGGGCTCCTAGGAGGCAAGAGAGCGGGCAGGGACCTCCACTGAGACAGCCCAGGCGGTGGGGCTGCTGGGTTCCTGTCTGACTGGCTATCATTTCACTCCATTCTTCAGACTGCTCAAGGAAAATTGCCTCCCTAATTGGCTCTTCTCTCCAACAAGCTGTAATGAGGCTAAACTTCATTCCAAGGGTGCTTAACCACCCTTTGGCTTCACTGGCTGCCATCTGCGGCCCCTGCCACAGTGCCTGCTCACATCACAGCGGGGGGGGACACGGGGGCGAGGGGTGGTACATCCAAGGATCTTGCCCTGTACTTGGTCTCAGCTGCCCAAAGACATTACTCTGGGCCTGCGAACGCACAGGGAACAGGGAGCTCTGCTTTCAGGGGGTCCCGGTCTCAGTGGGGAGACATAGCCCTGCCCTCAGCCTGAGCAGGGAGACATACACCCTGTTCTTACGGAAGCCCCCAGAATTACAAGGAAATACTGTTTCTTCCCTAGTTGAATCATAGGCAAGATCCAGTCTCACACTGGTGTAGATTGCCAGCCGACAATTCAAACTCATTCCCTTCATGCATTCAACAAATAGGTTCACTCATTCAATCAACAAATGCTCGTTAGATCTATTATCTGTCGCACTGTTTCCAGCACTGGATTGGAGACACAGCTGTGAGCAAAAAGAACAAATGTCCTTACTTTCGTGGGGCTCACATTCTACCAGGAAGGGACCACCACCCATCTGTCCCCAACCCCCAGCCCCAGCCCAGGCTTCCAGTCTGGAGACAAGATACGGGTTCCTGTAGGCTGCCTTGCAGGAGAGGCTGGCTAAACTTAATAGGGTGAAACCAACTCCTGTAACAGAGAATCCAAAGTGTAAACAAGGGGATTATGCTTCCTCAGTGTAGTCTGAGTTCCAGGGTGGGGAGTAGTTCTCCTCCAAATGGTGATGCACTGACCTACAGATTCTGGCCCAGAGTGGCCCCCAGCACCTCGTGCACCCCATTAGAGAGAGCTTAGCCACATGGCACACCTCGGGGCAAAGGAGATTGAGAAACGAGGTGCCACTGAGCAGCCATGGGCCACAATCCCCTCGCCATGATGAAGGGAATGGATTTGGGCTGTCGGCTAGCAATCTACTCCAGGGTGAGACTTGACTTGCCCTGTGATTCAACTAGGCAATCAGCTCTTGGAGCCAAGAATCCTGTCTCCTATATCCTCCCCCACACCTGGCCCAGTACGGGGCAATCAAAATCCCTCTGGTTCATATGTGGATTCAGAAATAGGAAGCTGGTATTATCAGTTACCAATTGATGTATAACAAACTCAGTGGCTTAAAACAAGAACCATTTATTTACTGCCAATCCTGGGGGTCAATAATTTGGACCAGAGTTTTGCCTGGGATCCCTCATGTGGCTGATGGTTTAAGACAAACTCACTTCTCCAGAGGATGGTGCTGGCTGTCCACTGGACCTTGTGTCTCCAGCATCCAGCAGGCTAGCTTGAGCCCTTCACGTGGCAGTGTCAGGGCAGCAAGCCAGTGAGAATGGGAGTTGCGAGGTCTTTGAGGCCTGGGCTTGGCAGTAGAACAACCTCACTTCTGCTGTGCTCTGCTGGTCAAAGCCAGCCCACATCCAAGGGCTGGGGAAATAGACTCTGGCCCTGTGTGGGAGGAGTTGCAAATAATTTGTGGCCATTTAAGGTCAACCATGTTGTTCTGGTTATATATCGCTGCATAACAAACCATTCCCAACACTTAGTGGCTTAAAACAATGACACTTCATTTGCTCATGAAACTTCAATTTGGGCAGGACTTAGTGGGGACAGATTATCTCTACTCCAGGACGGGGGCTACAATGATCTGAAGGTCACTCACTCATATGTCTAGGTACTGATCAGCTATTGGCTGAGACCCCACCTGGGGCTGCCATCCAGGACCCTACATGCAGCCTGTGCTTTCTCCCTGTGTGCAGGTGGCTTCCCGGGGTGAACATCCACACACACACACACACATAGAGACCTGGGCAGATATGTATCACATTCTATTGGTGAAGGCAGTCACCAATCTGCTCAATTTCAGGAAGAGAGAAAATAGTTCCACCTTTTGATGAGGAGTGGCCAGATTCTGGAAGAGCTAATATAGGACCAGAAATATTGCTGAGGCCAATTTTGGAAAATGCAACCTACCATATACTCCTTGGTTCTTCAGTCATCCATTTATCAAACTCCTGTCACACACTCACTGTGTGTCAGGTATGGGGTGAACAACATTCACGCACACCTTCTGCTTCCCAAAGCAAATGAGCCACCTGGTACCCTGAGGGTGGGAGACTGACAGCCTTTTGTCAGAGGCATCACAAGGGGTCGAGGAGATGGTACCTATGCCCATCACACCCAAGAACAAAAAGAGGGTGTACAGTTCAGCAGGTGGGATTTTCATTAGAACCTAAGCTTTTTCTAAGCAAAGATTTGTCCTGAGGGACATGCGCTCACCCTTCTTCCTTCTTCCCAACGCCCCCAGGCTCAGTAGAGGTAGGGGGACATGGGGTGGGGAGGGCTCATGTCCCACTGAAGGTAATGCCCCCGGGGCCCTTTGCTTTCCAATTTGGATGAACACATGGGCAGAGCAGGTGCTCACAAAAGTTTGTTGGATTTGAATATCTAGACTTATTCTCCTACAAGCAGCCTGAAGTTTGGGGCCTTGGCTTTCCACATAGTATGTATTTAAACATGTTTGGTGAATGAGTGAAAATGATCAATAAGACTCCCAATTGCACCCTATATCAGTTCAAAGTTTTTGTTTCTTTTACAGCAAAAAAAATTTATAATTTATAGCTGGACACATAGCAACTTAGAGTAAAGCATGCATTTTCTGGCCTCCTCTGTAGCTAGGAGTGGCCGTATAATTAAGTTCTAGCCAATGAGATATGAACAAAAGTGTGGCATATTTAACTTCTAGATTATATCTTTAAAATGAGAGAACCAGACCTCTCTTGCCTTCTCCCTTCCCCTCCAGCTGAAATCAATGTGGTGGGGACATTTTGGCGAATGTGGACAAGAGGACATCTCAGGTGATAAAGCAACAAAGTGAGGCTAGAAGGATCCTGGGTCTCTGACATCTTGCAGCTGCCATCCCTGCCCTTGACTACTTACACTCAGACTGTTGTGTGAGAGAGAATCAAATTTCTCTTGAATTTAGCCACTATTATGTGGGGTCTCTGTTAGAGCATCTAAACCTCTGTCCTAATCTATACAACAAGGAAGTGAATATATGCATGAATGCATTCATGACTAAGTGAATGATCGATTGAGTGAATGTCTAATGGTTGCTGTTATGGTGACAGCAAAGAACCATAATAACTATTTATAAAGCAATAGCTCTTTTTATGACATTTAGTTGCTTAATGTGAAGTGTGCAGAGGGTAGGTTCAGGGATGATTCAACAGCTCAACAGTCATCAAGGACCGCAGGCTCATTCCACTTTTTTGCTACACCATCTTCAGAGTGTTGGTTTTTATCCTTGGTAACTATGGTCACAAAATGGCAGCCACTGTTCCAGGCATCATGACTTCACACAATCATGCCAGTGGGCAGGAAGCAGGGCAAGAGCTAGAGTGGCAAGATAGGCTTATTCCTCTGAGTTTCCTTCTTTAAACAGGGAGGAAAAACAGGGAGTCAAAGCCCCCAGTTGACTTCCTTTTATACCTTATAGGTCATAACTGGTCACACAGGACAGCTCTAGCTGCAAGTGAAGCTAAGAAATGAGTGCCTCTGTTCTTCAAGCTCCACAGTGGGAGGAGAGCAAAAAAGAAGAGAGTGACTGTGGCATTAGGAACCAACAGTGTCTGCCACAGTGATTAAGTGGGTGAATGAGTAAATGAATGAATGAATGAACAAACACTATATGGTAAAAAATGAACTATGTTCTCTCCTGCTCTGGTAGTTGGGAGAACTCCCGGAGTCAGGATACAGGAATGGAGAAGCAGACAATGGAAGAAAAGGGATGGAGATTCTCCTGGGGTTCAGAGGCAAGGAGGTCAGAGTTCCTGGAACTGGGTAGGTAGTGAGGGAGGTAGGCTCAGAAGAGACTAGATGGATTTGGGATGGAGACCGCACCTGGAAGCTGGTCGGGAATGACAGGCAGGCAATAGGGGAGAAAGAGAAATCCACCCCTGGCCTGAAAAGGATGCAATTCCTGGAAAAGGAAATGGCTCAGTCAAGCTGGAGAACCTGGGCAGGGCCTATGGGGACAGGAGGGGACACTGGGTTCCAGATGTGGGCAGTGACCTTTGAATTAAATGTGCATTACAGGAATCCATCCTCTGCTAACCCAGAGATACAAACAAAGGACAATTTTGGCTAATAGTGATGGTTCCTATACCAAATCCTTTACTGTAATAGCAAATAAAACACAGAACATTGGAAATTGGAGCTTTAGGGCCCCAAGGAAACCATTCACCTCTAACTCCTTCCATTTTGCAAGTGAGAAGGTCAAGGTCCAGACACAGGAACAAAAGAATGTCCATGGGCAAAGCCTGAACCAGAGCCCAGACTCTGGGACCAGTCTGCCCCTCCCACTGGGGATTACTCCATTTCTCCAGGCAGAGCTACAGCCTCCATGTAGCGACTCAAGGGAGACAGTGTGGGATTCCCAGCCCATTCTGGAATGTTGGGAGAGTAGAGCAGAGCCCCCAGCCCCATTCCGGCAAGCCTTACTCCCACCATCTCACAGGATACAGAAGGTTGGTAGAGGACAACAGCTGGCCATGGGGGATGACCCGCCTGCAAAGTGCTGTGCCCTTGCTCACTGGCACAGTTCAAGCACAGACAGGGAGTTACTAAAGGGGGGACGCTGACTGGCCATTGGAGGGAGTGGCCAGAGGTTCCCTTCAAGGTTGAACCCCCTTGGCAATACCTCCAGACTGACTCACCAGCCAAGAGAGGCCCAGGTCCAGAGCCAACAGACGCCTCTGCCAGCCCTGGAGGCTGATCCCATGGTGACAGGAGGTGAGAGAGAGGCAGGAAGAGAAATTCATGGAGGTCTCTAAAGGTGTGGCCCTGTGCTCCGCAGGCCAGCAGAGGGAGGGCACCACTTCCTTGGATCCAGGCGCACTCATCAGGCTGGGGGCTGGGGCTGAGGAAAGAGACCTGGACCCTCCGCCCTCCATCCTCACCATCACCAGTCCACCTGCCAGAAGTCAGCAGGGTGCTGCACATCCCTCCCACCAGGACCCACAGGGGAACAGCACTGGGGGTAGTGGAGATTTGCTCATCCAGCAACTGCTCTGCTCAACTTTTGGACAAAAAAAAGGCCTCAAATTTCCATATTAGGGGAAATGGGGACTTTTCACTCCCTTGCACCCCACTTTGTTCCCATCTCTGGACCCAGGGTGAAATGGGTAAAGGAACATCTCTGAGACCCAGTATAGACCCCACCTCCCACCACCTCAACTCTTTCTCCAGGAGAGGGTGACCCAGGCTCGCCAACGACCTCCTGGGATCCTTCTGGATTTTCTGGGCTGCCCCCACCAAAGGCAGAAGGGCCGCATTGGCCTGTGGGGAGCCATAGAGGGCAGCACTCTACTGCCCGTCCTGGCAGATGCCCCCCCCCCTCACGCCTCCACCACCCCAGGTCCACTTGCAGCTCCCCGCCCCTGGCCCGCAGCCATTCTCCCTGAAGCCGTGCGTCTTTCCTCCTCTCCTAGGCTCAGCCTCCAGTGATCCTGACACCCACCCGCCCTGCCGAGACCCCGCTGCCTCAGGACTCAGCCAGACCCCCGCGGTCCCGCTCAAGTCCCAGGCCAGCGCTGCAGGCGCCCGGCAGGCAGCCCGTCCCTGGGCACGGAGCCCGGAGCCGGGTGCGGAGCGGGAGCCCGCCGTCCCATGGCCCGTCCGCTCTGCCGCCGCTGTCTTGCTCCGCGCCCACGCCCAGCCCGGCACCCGGCCAAGACTCGGTCTCGCCGTGCCTGCCACCTGCCCGCCTCTTGGTGGGGGTGGGGCCCTGGGATTGGGGGTGTGGAGCCGGAGCAGGCTTACCAGCTTCCGCCTAGGCCTGGGTAACAGAGGCCCCCGGTGTTGGGGAGGGAGCGGAGACAGACAGCTGCTCAGTCCCACAAACAGAACAGGGCCGTCGCCGGGGTTTCCTTTACCTTCTTTCTCTGCATTGCTTAGGAACACCCCACCCCCTCATTTCACTGGATCCCAGAGCGGAAGAACCTTCAGGTTCAAACCTCTTCCCCCAGTTTACAGGAGACCTGAGGCCCAGATGCAGCTGGCTTATTTGAAGTCACAAGCCAGAGGTCCAGAGGTCAGAGGTCCAGAGGTCCAGAGGTCCAGAGGTCCTCGGCCTTCCTCACAGTGCTCTGTCCACTCTCCGGGCACAGTCTCCACCTCGCTCTACTTCTCCTCAGCCCCTCCCTCTTCCTCACGCAGGTCCTGGAATCAGGGCCCCTTCTCTGACCCTAGTCTTTTGAAGCAGAGATCAGCAGAGGCTTGGATGCTTCTAATCCAGAGTCTGAAAGTTTCCAAGGCAAGTTTTGTGCCTACTGGTCCGGGAAGAGGCTGGTAAGGGCCCCACGGTAGTTCTTGGTGCCCCCCTCCCCTGCGCCCCTGCCTCCAGTCGTCCCCAGGCTGCATGCACTCACCTTAGCTGGGGTGAGGCCTCATTAAATGGCCCCACATTAATGAGGGAGGGAACTGCAGGTGCTGTTCAGAGGTCGCCAATGCCCTGGGTGTCCCCCAGAGGGCATGCACAGACATTGACATATGCACAAGCACCCTTTACACTGGCACGCACTTACACGTGCGCGGGGGTCAGGCATATCTTAGATGGTAGTATTTGTTGCTGGAAATACTGTCACTCTCCTTGGGATTTCTCTTATTCACAACTTGTCTTGACACCCCCTCCTCCATCCCTGGTCAAAGCAACTCCATTCTTCTTCTCCCAATTGTCTGAGTATTTTTATTTGAATAAATCAGCAGGAAAAGATTTCAAGGCCTAAGTTCAAAGCTCTTTCCCAATGTCTGTGATGTATGGTTGTAAAAATAATGCTGAGAACAGAAAGTGACCTTTATTTCAAATCTATAGTCCTTGATGACTTCTGGCTTTTCTTTTCTTGAGAAAATAGATTTTTCCTGGTTATTAAAAATAATACATGTTCATGTAAAAGATATTCAGGCAATACAGAAAAGTCTAAAGATGTGAGTCAGAAGCATATGAAATTTCACCACTGGGATAACTACAGATAACCCATTGAATATTCTTCCAGGTAAAAAAAAACACGCACATACATAAACACAGATTTTTATATTAAAAAATGAGAGTAATAGGCATGCTCTTTTCTTATCTGCCTTTCTCACAATATATTTTCAATGGCAGCAGAGACTCTGCTGTGGGCACATTGGGCACTCTCAGCCTCTTACTCTACTGTCACTGCCCTGCAGAAGAGAGCAAAATGGTGGGTGATTCTGGGGAGGGATGGGGGCACTGAGAGGAGGGCGGCACATGCAGATGGGAGGAGGCCTTGTGAAGTGCTGAGTCCACTCAGCTGAGTTCTGGCGGGCTTCATGGGGCCTGAGAGAAACAGGAAGTTCAAAACATTTTTAAAGACCAAAACTGCTGAAGAGACAGGGTGATGGATTCAGTGGTAGGATTTGCACTTGGGGGCCTGCCAAGTTCATCTCAGAGCAGGGAGACACGCTGGGCACTGACAGGGCTGCATGCCCAGGCAAGATGAATTTGGGAGCAGGGGGTTCCGAGAAGCAGTATGGAGGGATGCCTCCACCTGGGTTGGGATGACTTCAAGGAGAAGAGTTTCGACTTTTTTCTTGGATTTATTTATATCCATCCTCTTTCTGAAAGAGTGTTTTAGTAGCTTTCCACAAAGGACATATGCAAAAAGGTCGGGCAGCTAGAAATAGAAAATCAGGACCAGGGACAATTTCCATCTGGAGTGGAGGGCTGCACAGGAAAGGTGCCCCCCTCCTCCCAGTCCCCAGGGATGAGCTGGTGAGGAAAGCAGAATGATCCCAAAGGCTAGAAAGACGAGGAGGGTTGCTGGCTGATGTGAATGAACACTGTACCCAAGTCAGATGTCTACATTTACCTCCAGGTTCCTCCCCTTCCTAATCTTATGAGCTTGGGTATCTACAGCACCTTTCTGAGCCTCAGTTTCCTCATCTGTAAACCTGAAAATAAAAATATCCAAGTCATTGTGCATTATTATATGCATAATAACATGATACTCTGTTCTGGTAAGTAACCTGACCTACTTGTATGGTTTAAACTGGGCCCTCGGATGGGGTCACTTGCATGGTACACAGCACACAAGTGTGCCCCCAGGGAACGGTGGTCACTCGAGGAGGGATGAAAGAGGGGAGAACCAAGGGGGTATATTTACGTTGCCTACCAGCTCCCTGCCCCTCTGAGGTAGCCCTCTCAGCCTTTCTAGCAGCCCCCTGGCAGCCACGTTTCATGTACATGACCCCTTCCTCCTGCCGAGCGGATTGGATCAGGGGTGATTTCTGACCCGAGGGTGGCCAGTCAGTAGGCTGCCTGATGCTGTATCTGTGACTGGGTACAAAGTGGTGGGCCAGTCCGGTCTGCCCTCTCTGTCTAGAGAGGCTAGTCAGTGAATGCTGGCGGCTATCCCTGGAAGGTCGAGAGGGAGAATTGGACTGGACAGGCCACAGTGCCGGCAAACGAGCAGACACCATGAGTCAGGAGACAACCATATGGGCAAAGAGAAGCAGATGCTGGGAAGTGGCTGAATCACACCAGGGTGAGTATCTATTGCTGCTGTAACAAACTACTCCCAACTTCAGGACTTAAAACAGTAAGTATTTTATTATAATCCAGGACTTTGTGAGTCAAGAACCTGGACAGAGTGTGGCTGGGCAAAGCTTCTATTCCATGGAGCTTTGAAAAGGGTGATCAGTTGGTGGGTGGGCTGCTCTGGACAGTCTAAGGCAGCTTCACTCCCACGTCTGGTGGGGGGATGGCCGGAAGGCTGAGCTCAGCTGTGAGGTCACCTGGAGCCCCTCACATGGCCTCTTTGGCATGGTGGTCTCGGGGGAGTTGGGCATCTCACATGGTGGCTCAGGAACCCCAGAGAGAACATTCCAACGGGCCTGAGTCAAAGCTTCACGGCATCTTCATCTCAGAACGTCACAGTCTGTTGGCCTAACAAGTGAGTCAGACCAACACAGATTTAAAGGGGGAAGAGAGTTAGACTCCTCTCTTTAGGAAGGATAACAAAGGATTTGTGGCCACCTTTACCGCTGAGGAGCCATGAACCAGAGCTACCTTGAGTTCAAAATACCATCTTGTCCAAGAAACCCATCCTAGTTACATGCCTAGTGTTTGGATTTCTGAGAGTGTCTGTTCCCTCATTACATATATCTTTACAATAATGCTCCTGTACTTGAGCGAGCCTACCTTCCTTGTACCCAATGAGCCAACCTAAAGAGGGTTCCAAGCTCTTAGAAGAGAAATCCCAGGAGTGGCAGCAAGAAGTTACCTGAAGTATGAGCTGATAAAGCTGAGGTAGGGAGTTCCTAGTCTTGTCACCTTTCTGAGCCTCAGTGTCACCATCTGAACATGGAAATGAAGCTATCTGCCCTACCTGAGTTGACCGAGTAACACGAAAGGTTTGTTTCCCATCATTTGCCTGATCTCTCTCTGTAGTTCATATCATGACACCTAAGCCTTGGTTTGTGGTCACTTCATGAGCGTTCCATGGGGGTGAATTTTCCTCACAACTGCCTGCCCCCATGACCTTGCAAGCTATTTCTCCTAAGGAAAACATAGTAGTAGATGGTTGAAATAAGTGACCTTAAAGGACCTTCCAGCTCTGAAATTCTAGGATTCTGAGAGGTCTGGGATAAAGGAAAATATTGGTACAAAATGAGTTTTGGGAAAGTGGGCAGCTAACTGGTGGCAAATAAAGGAAGGAGCCCCAAGTAGAGGCAGAGTGGGGTTTATGGGGCCAGGACAGGAACCCCGAGCTTGTGAGGGAAGCAGAGACAGGTAAGGGGGAGGGTGGGCTTCAGAGCCCAGAAGGGAAAGGACAAAGTCAGTACAGTACCTGCCCAACCTAATTCCTCCTCCTTTGCCCTTCTCTCTGCTCCTTGAGCCTCCCAAGTTTTTCACCCTTTAGGCCTTTGCATATTCTGTTCCCTCTGCTTGAAAGACTCCCTCTGTCCCAGATCAGTCACTCTTTAGGTCTGTCCTAAATGTCTCTCTTTAGAGCAGTCTTCCCCCAGTCCCCAACCCAAATACAGACCTGCTCGGACCTTCCTTCACAGCCCTAGTTGTATTCATAACAGTGAAATTATTAGCTTAGTGTCCATCTCCCCCGCTAGATAGGAGCTTCCAGGAAGGCAGTAGTTGACTAGTATTTGTTGAAGGAACACAAGATGCCAACAAGAAGCAGGGTCCCCCGGGGCCTGAGAGGAAGCCCTAGCCTCTCACCTGCACCCTGTCCCGGCCTGCCTGCCTGCTCCACCCACCTGCCCCATGACACACACAGCTGACCCGGAGCTCTAGAACATTGCAGCTTTATTGATTGAAACAACCGCGTCTGCAACTAGAGGTTACATTTAGGAGAGTTGGGGGGTTAAAGGGGAACAAAGTGGGGTCAGAGGCTGGGGTGGAGAAAGAAAGCAAGGCAAAGGGTGAGGATGGGGCCGTGTGACTTAGACAACCCCAATGCCCTTCACCCGTTAATGAGGGTCTCCTGTTGTGCTTATACCTTGGTAAAGGGGTGGGCTGGACATGGGGGGTTGGCTTTCCTCCCAGATCTGTGAGTCCTCAGGGTGGGTGCAGCGCCCCCTGCTTCCCTGCCCTTTCTCCTGGGTTGGGGATAAAGGCCTTGGTGAGCCAACCACCTCGGGCAGGGAGGATGCTTGGAAAAGGCTGGCACAGGGGCCACTGGAGTTGGGCTGAGATGGTGATGATGTGGGCAGCCGGCAGGGGGCAGAGAGGTGCCAGGAGGGAGGGAGATCCTAGTGGGGCCCTGGGAAGTGAATGCAGGTGACAGGAGGGAGAGGGGGTGGCGGTGGGCAAGCGCCATCTCTCTGGACCTCAGCTTTCTCACGTGTACAGTGGGGGCACTGGGTTAGATGGGCTCTAAGGTCCCTTCCAGCTCTGAGGGTCAAGGGATCCCCAGCAAAGAATGGTCCTTCTGCCCCAGCACACATACCCTCAATCCTCACACACACCTTCATACACACCCTCACATCCAACACAGACTCAACAAAGAGGGGGTGCTACCCTGTCTTTGAAAGTATAGAGAGCTCCTCTGAACCCAGAACCTAACCAGTGGCCTTATCCAGGCTCTCTAGAGCAGGTCTACCCACCGCATTACTGGGGACAGACCCTGAAAATACCTCCGGCCCCCTAGAGCTGTCCAGGGAGAGGAAAAAAACAAGATGGGCACACCCACGCACCCACAGCCCTCCCGGTCCTTAGTGGGGAGTTGGCAGGATGAGGACACGAGGATGTGCTGCCCTGCACTGCCAGCCCCAGCTCAAGTGAACACAGAGGGAGGGAAGGGGAGGCATCCCCTCTGTCCGGGAGCCTGGGCAGCAGCTACGGCCAGAGTGGGCAGAGAGAGGCAGCCTCCATGTGGCCACCAGCCTAATCTTGGGTGGGCAGGGTGGTGGCCTGGGATGAGAGGCCAGAATATGGGACTAGGAGATTGTGCCTCTCCTGGCGCAGGTGCCCAGAAACATCTGTAACATCTGTATAGCACCTGGAGACAAAGCAGCTTGACTAAGCCCCTTGTTGTTGCCCAGTAGGAGACC